AAGTATCTTGCCCATACTGGAGATGGTGACAGAATTGGCAATGAGGAGGTGACTAGTCATTCTGCAAGGCCTGGTCTGGGGCCAGTTTTCATTTTCATCTTGTTCTCTTTCTGTTTTTCTTTCTCTCTTGCTTTTGTTATTTATACCAATGAGCAAATGCTGTTTATTTTTAGCAGCCTTTCCATTTTGCTCAGTTGCTGATCCTAAGTAATGGAATGCCTGCGGCCCTCTCTAGGGTACTATCCCGCCTCTGGTAAGAACAGACAAATGCAAGCTTTGGGGTAGGGAGTTATTGATTTGCTTCCAGGCAAGTATGTGTGTGCGATATATGTAAAAGGTGCCCATGTATACCATATATTAGCACTCCAGCATCTTAGCAAATGACCTTTCATGATCTGCCTTGGGTGAGAAATTTATGTTGTGTATCTCCATAAAGCAAGCAGCCTTGCAACTTGCTTATTTTAGAGCATATAAAACCAACACTAAAAAACCAAACACACCCAAATATACACACCTATTTCTGCAAACAGAGGAAAAACAAAGTCCTCCCTCAAGTGCTGACAGTTTTAGTTCTGGGAGGAGCAAAGCAGATGGATCAATTGATAGAAGAAGATGTAGGAGTTACATGGGGGTACGTGATGTAAGCCCCATTTTTTTTCCTTTTCTCTTTCAGATCTTGTGTCACTGGGTTATTGCAGAGATACTAATACAAGGGACAATAGAGTCCTGAGGGAAGCAGTTACAGGAGGGCTTCCACAGAGGTGTGGATGTCCAGGGACCCCCTGCCTCCAGATTAATGCAAGGCCAGCAGCATCTTCCACTGAGGGTCCTAGCAGCTTTACATCTACTTTCCTACTTTAGGAGACAAATGTATGACGCTGCCCCTCTTCTAAACACCTTTATGCTGGAAAAAAAGGAAAGGGAGAGTGTATCCAACCTGAGGCAACAAAGTTTATCCTTTCCTATCCTTACTCAAAGTTTATCCAAAAGAACTTCAGAACCAGGAAGGAGTAGCTACATACTTCAGCTGCAAGGAATGAGATGCAGAGTTTTAGGTCTTGCCCATCCTGCATCCCCCTGAGGTACAAGGGATTTTGTGGCAGATCAAGTGCCCTTGGTCACTGCTGCCTACTTTGCATCAACAGAGCTTCACTCCTAGACACATTTGTATTGCTGTTGGTGAGGTGCTTTCTGGCTCATGCCTGTTTCAGTTTCGGCTGGAAGGAAAGCAGGTGCGGAGGTTGTCCCACACCCTCAGTGTCAGTGGGATCCCACCCAGCCTGAAGGTATAGCTGCATAACTGTTTTGTTCTCTCAGTAGGGTCTGGCTTAGTTTAAACATTTTCTGTAGGTTTTTGTCTTCCCCATTTTCAGGCCTGACTCATTTCGATAGGGATAGGAACCTACTACATGCATACTTATGCTGGCAGAGGAAACTAATTTTCAGCTAATGGAAAAAGATGAGAGGCTAGTGGGACATTACTCATGTGCAGCCAGAGGAGCTGATGGCCCTGTGCTTAATTTGCTAATGCCGTGTCTACGCAAGTGTTCTCACTTTTGCCACTGCTAGGAAATTACCATTGATTGCAGTTGAAACATTGGAGATGGGGAGGAGAAGACACCTTGTGTAGGAAACAAAGTTATGCTGCCTTTGAGAGGGACCCAAATACCTTTTCTACCACAGATCTTAAATCCTTCCACCTTTTCCCCTGCTCTAGTTGCTGCTGGTTTTATCCTTACTGTGGTGGTTCTCTGTGATGAAGCAAGTCGTCTCTGTGCCAAGACCCTGCTTTGTTACTGTCATTAAAGATCCAGCTCTTATTAACAATCCTGAACCCGGTGGAAGGGGGAAGGTATCTATTCTGAAGCTACTCTTTAAAATTCAGCCGCATTTATATACTATGATCTGCATGCCTCTCTGCCCCCAAATTACTAAAATTGCAGCACAGCTGTCCAAGACTTATTTTTTTAGTAAATGACTCTTATAACTGGCATTCAGATTAACTACCATCTTAATGTGAAATGCAGCAAGACATTTAACGTGTGGGATATGATAACCACCTCAAATAAATACAACAGTGCGTCAGTAGATGTTTTCATATTTTCAGGTAAGCAAGCTGGTGTTGGGGAAAAAGATTAGTGTATTAACACCTCTCCTCAAAGCAAGCCAGCTTCCTTTCTACATGGAATAATTATTTTTTCACATAAGCCCTGTAGTGCTTCTGCTATGTTTGCACTTTTAAGTCTCAAACATTGCAGTACAGATTGCCCTTTATGAGTGGAATCTGAGGTCATGTGTCTGCATTTAAAATTCACTGTGCATGAGCTATCATACACTGGCTTGTGAATTCTGTAGGTGTAGGGGTTATAGGCCCGTATTTCAGGTGTGAAGAAAGCAGGACCTTTTTTAGCACTTAAAACACCCATGTGTGCAACTCACAGCTATGAGTAACTTTGGCAGAGCTTTATAAACTCTGTTGATTCATAGCTGGCATCTCACCATCTGTATGGGGAGGATTACATATAAATATGTATGTCCTGTACATAACAGGACCATTTAGAGCATCCCTACAGCATAAAGGTGAAGTGAACTTGGGCACAAAAGTCATTATACCTCTGTGGAAGACTTGCTGGGGAGAATACTGAAAGGCCTTTTGTCTGCCATAGTCTAGGGCTCACAAGTGATTTTAGGTGGCTGGCGATCCATGCTTCTGTTTATACAGTTCCAGCAAGGTTTTAGGGTCTTTAACCAAAGATGGTTCAGAAATAGGTGATGGTGGGAGAAGTGACTGTAACCAGCATGCCAATGAAATACCAGAGAGAGGAAGGCTTCTCTCCTGGATCATGAATCCTGGGGCTTTCATGGATAAAAAGTTGCAGCTGGAGTTTGAGGGTGTAATGACACATAAATCTTTGGTTTAATCGTCTTCTAAAGTCATGCCCAGGGTTGGCTTACAGAAAATGAAAAAAAGCTAATGAACCCTGAGGATGACTGATCTGCAGCTGTCCTCAATAGCTTTCTTGAAGGAGGTCTTTTTTCATTGCATATATAACTGCTGCATGTTGCTGTTTTGAGCAGCTGTGTCTTGGCTACTCCAATATGCTCATTGCTGGAACTATCTCTTAAAACTCTGGCCAGCACCTGAAAAAATATTATTATTTGAGATGGCATTAACATCTAGGTTCCAGCCACAGTTTTGTGCTGGGCATACTACAGTTGAAATACGAGAGTCTGTCCATGCCCTAGAAAGCCTATTTTCTATCTGCAGATGCTTCCTTGAAAGAGGAAATGGGTAAAGGTGATCTAGCCTTTTTCGTCCAATATGAGCTGGCTAGACAGTCAGTGAGATTCTTAACAGGTGTGAGATTGCAGTAAGATTGGAGCAATCTGGCAGAACTTCAGAACATCTGATTAAAAAAAAAATAAAAATTGTGTCAATCCACACTCAGTAGCATCGCTAGGAGAAGGACCTCAGGAATGAAGGGTAAGAATGAATTTCAGCTTCTCTTACTATCTTTTCCACAAATTCTTGTGTACTTATACTCACTATATACCTATATTTCACTGCTATGCTAGATCCAGAATTTACACGTTGTACTGCTGTATGTCAGAAACTGTTAATCTTGCACCAATAGCAAAATTTACAAGGGACGTGCCCAAGTGATCTAGAGTGACTGTAACTATGTTGGTGCAAGAAGTCCCCATATAAGGTGAATTCTTAGTCATGCAGAGTATGAATCCGTAGAAGCAGATTGGCCTGGCAACCTGAAGGGGAAAAAAGAACAAAGGAGAATATGTTGATGCAATCTATCCAGTGGTACTGTGCTGCAAATAGTGAGGTGATCTCCTAACTTCTGAAGTGTAAAAAAAGAAGTCTGAAAGGTGTCTGTCTTTCTCAGTGGATTTATTTATTTTCTTTTCTTTTTTTTTTTCTCCCAGTATATTTCCAGCTTTTTAAAATCAGAAATGTTTACTGGGGGAAACTATTAATGAAGCCCAGCAGAATGTGACAGGAGGGGTAAATGCATATAAATTCAGAAATTGAAAGGGCAGGGCACGTTCACAAGGGAAAAAAAGGTGCATTACCAACATTTTTTAACTAAAATACGACAGCTAGCTGGAGGTAAGAGTTTAAGGCTGTCCTCTGTGCTAACAGGCCCATGTAGGGAAACTGGCAGAGCCCTGGGGTGAAAACTGCAAGCTGTCTGAATGCAACATTCAATACTATGGCTATGTTTTTAAATTACTGCAAGTAAGGTGCCTTTTTGTCCTAGCAAGGATGAAGCATTAAATGAGATGTTTTGCAAATGTTTAAATATATGCTTTTGTTAATATATTATTGGCTAGTTAATATTTTTAATAAAATTAATCATTGTGAAAGCTTTAAAAATTAACTCTGCAACTGATCATTTAATCGTAATTAAAGGCAGTGAAGGAAACCTAAAACCTTCGGTAGTTTCAGCAGTAAAACTGAGGAGGCTATCTTCTGAAATTCTCTAATATTTCTGATGCAAGAACAGAGGCAGGGAATTTACTTTAAGGAATTGCTTTTCGAAAAATATCTCTGCTAGTAATTTCTTTTTAATTCATTAAATACTTAAAAGAGGGGGAAACTCCAGGAAAAAAAAAAACAAACGGCATTGCAACTCACTGCTAAAGGCGTTAATACGATGCTAATGAACCATAGCCTTTCCAACGCATAGCTGGCAACTTTACCACCCATCTGTGCTGAGTGGGATGTGCAAGCAGAAGTCGGGGCTGAAAACCCTCCACCTGTTTTCAGAAAGTGAGTGCGCACACACTGAAGTTACTCAGCGTATTTGCTCCGTCTTCGGCAGTCCGGGTGATGTTGTTACTACTACTTTTCTGCTGTCTCATATCTCCCACCGCCATGTGCCAGCTGATAGGGGAGCTGTGACATACCACACCCCCGCGGCCGGGAAGGGGGTCACATGGACTGGTCTCATCCAGAGCACTTTAAAGAAACTGATAGAGCTTATCTCATTTAACTTGGCCTTTGGAAGACGCTTGTGGAAATTTCTGCAAAGGAGGTGACATCAGTTGTTGTCACAGCTGCTGTGTAAGTCTGCGTCTGTTCAGTATCTGGCCAGGGTGTGTATGTGTGTGCAAGTAGATATCGTTAATAGATTGCATTTAAATCAAAAACAGTTCATATGAAGTTGGCGAGGAGGTTCGATCACTCAGAATAGGTGCATTATCATCAAGACTTGAGGCAATGATGGAGTACATAAACTTAATAAAGCAGAAGGATGACCAGCTTTGGAGGGCCGATGTTACATTTAAAACAAACCTTCTCCCTGGGGAATTCCAAGTGTTAGCATGTGGGACATACTCCAGCTGCTAGCTGCTCAGACTTAAAATAAACCAGGCAAAATCCTATACGCAGGCTCTACCAACTGAGGCAAGCTGCTATTGCAAACCTTTCATCTCCCTTTTTCTTCCAGTTGGGTCAGAATGACAGCAAACATTTTTGAAAGAGCATTTAAACCTTAGTATTTCACACAGCTTTCCTTGTGCTTCTCTGAAGTGATCTCAGCACAGTTATAAATTCAGCAAAGAATCTGGTTTGTACAGGTTGAAACATTGTCCTAGGAAGGCTGGAATTAAAAACGGGTTAGAAGGAATATTTCTACCTTGTGTGACAAAGACATTGTGACCAATACTACTGCTTTCCTAATCTAGGTACTTTTGAAATCGCAGCATGACTACATTAACAGAGGACTATTCTTCTTATTATGTTGAACCCGGGAGATCCTTTTTCTTAAAGTGAAACACATGTGACTTTAGGGTGATTTGCATTTTGGTTTTTTTTTCTTAGCATATTGAAGAGGAAATAATTTAATGTGTCTATGGAAGACACCATAGCAGAATTTCATGTAAAAAGGTGTCTGGGACTGCATGGTTGTTTGACAACTAGAATATAAATAACTTTGTGGAGGTCTGAAAATAGACTACAGTACTGTTTGCTTGTCTTGTGGTTTGAGATTGACTTCAGTTTTTTTTTTTTAATTTTATTTTAATACCCCTCTGACTATAATTTATTTCTAAGGTACTGAGATGCTTGGGAGGGGTGGGAAACAAGCAACTTAATGTAATCTATGCAAATAATGTCTAAATTTTTTTTTAACATTATCCTACATGAAACTTCATTTGTCAAGACTACTCAGTTTTTCTGTGATAAAACCTGTTGAGCAACGTAGTACACAACATTTAGGAATTTAATACTCTTATTACTGTCAAAGCACAGATATCAAGCCATACCAGTCAGCTTGAAAAGTGTACAAGTGACTGACGCAACCTACCTTCCTGCTTCTTCTCTTCTTCCTTTAGACACAGTCACGCAAATTCTTGTTCAAACCAACAAGCTTATCCAGAGTATAGTTATAACAGTGAACTCTGCCAAGCTATGGTTAATCACACGGTGCTAGGGATATCTTCTGAAGGTATCCTGAACACTGTGGCAGAAGTATTTGTCACTCAGACTATTTATAATTCTAGGAGTTTGGAGGCCAGACAGATGTTTATTTTTTTTAATATGAGATGGCACCTCTTCCTTTATACAAAAGAAATTGGCTATGTCTGTATGGATACATCAGGCAGATCTGGAGCTTGCTGTTTTCAGGAAATGCCATGTATACACCCCGGACACACTGCTGCTCACTCGATTAGCCTTTCTGTCTCACAGATGACTTTGTAGCTCCACGGCAGTCAGCCTGTTGTCTGCTGGACCTCTCGTTTCTGTGGATGGTTGGGAGAGGTCAGTGCAGGGTAACTCAAGAAATGTGAAGCTGTTGTCCACGTAGCACCTCCATTAGAAAATTTTTAAGGGCTTCCAAACTGAATAAAGCTGTGAGCTCTAGTGTTAACCACAATTTTATATATTTTTTTTTTTTTTCTGGATGGTGTGCAAAACTATACTAATGCCAGTAAGCCTTTGAGAAATAAGACTGATAAGCATCATGGTTTTTTTTTTTCTTATTTTCCTAACCACCTCAAGTGATTAGTTTTGAGGACTTTTTGATAAAGTTTACATGCAGGTCACCCTTCCCTCCTGTTCCTTGTTACATATCTTGAATTATTCTTAACTCCGTGTTTCTGGAAATCATGGGCAATGTATAGACACAATGCCTTCAGCAGGCACGCAAGGAATGTTATGAGGGTAGCAAGCTTCCAATTTCCCTGGTCACTCAGAAGATTTATGTGCCAGTATAATGAGAATGAATGATGAGCTGTTGTTCATTGACAGAGGCCTTATGGGTCTGTCTATGCACAAGAGGTTTTGGAAGTTGATAACCTTTGTGCTTCAGGTTTTGTTTTGAATAGATAGAAGAGGAGAAAATAGCTATTAGTAGATGTAAAGCTGGACAGACAAACTGAAGGGTATTAGCCAAGTTCTGGCAGTGAAGCTAAAAATCTGAGCTATTTATACAGTTGGAAACAGAGTTGGGGTATTTTCATTATTTTGGCACACAGTATTGACTTTTATAGAGTCAGGAGATGCTCCTGCCTAGAATTTCACTCTCTTCTATTTTTTAGGTCTCTCTGAGTCAATGTGACATATCGCAGCTTTGGTCTGAGCACTGGCCAAGTATAAATGGAGGGGTGGATTTCAAACTCTGAAACTGAGAAGTCTCTAGGTCACTCTAAACTTGCCTAGAGACAAGGCGTGTTAAAGTATTTTTTTGCCGTTCAAGAGCAAGATAAAATGTCCATAGACAGAACCACTATTACTACTATATAAGTTATTCACTTCAACACCTTTCTCGTATCATATCAAGTTAATGACCATTTTGTGCATCTGGTATACATCCAGAACCCCTGTTGTAAAGTCAAGGTTGTGTGAGATATCCCAGTTTGCACACCATGTTATTTTGACAAGTATCATAAAGCTACGTAAACGGAAACCATACTTTTAAGATTTTTTTTTCCTAAAGGATACGAAGTAAAGATTAAATACTGAACTTTGATTTTCAGATATATTACACACACACACACACATCCCCTGCCCCAACCTCCATATACTAAATAGTAAATTCTTGGGAACATAAGAGCCTGAAAATTTTTGCTTTTCTAAACCTAAAACGTAGCCATCTTTAGCAGAAGCCTAAGTATTATGTCTCCTGGAATCACATTAATTCCAGAAGAAACCTCTGTCTTCTCTGGTATTTATAATTTCATAATATCCACTTTCTTAAAAATTTTCGTTGTCTCAAATGTTCCAGCAGCTCCATGTTATAAGCTCTTGAGACTGATTTAAAGTTTCACCATGCATTTTTGCAGAGTGGCAGAGAACTTAAGCCAGGACTTAAGGGTTTAGGTTCTATTCAGAAGTTACCCATGTGCAAAAATATTTTTCTGAAACATATGGGAAAGAGCTGGGTTCTCCTACACACATGCCTGGAAGATAATTGGAAATCACTGTGCTCCGTTTTTAAAAAATAAGAACCATGAAACTCCCTCCTGGAACGACACGAAGCACACACATTTTCTCTTTGAAAGGCATTAACTTAGTGTTTTTATGCATACCTATGATATGGTGGTTGGAATGGCATTTGGAATTGCTCCTTAGCAATAGTCTCATCGCCATCCTCATATCTGTGCTGGCTGTAGTGGAGACAGACTGTTATCTACCCCTGTGTCGTTGTATAGCAACCCGTGGAAGTTAGAGGCATAACTGCGTACGTATGTTGCTTAGCGTTGGCATCCAGGCCAGAGAGCGGCAGTGGTAGGGAGAGTCTGATGTCGGCTGTGCAAAGCTGTGGACAAGGATGCTTGGGGAGCCAGGAGTCTGATGGAGGGAGGAGGCAGAAGGACCAGCCAGAACAGCCCTATTCTCCTGTGTGGTGCAAGGGGAGAAGGAAGGGGACAAAATTGCGAGCTCCATCTTTCCTAGGTATGGGCCTGTGCCTAAATGATTTCATTCAGCCCTAAACTTGTAATGGAAAATCTTGCATGATTACAACTTAATATACCATAGTCTGTATTTATGGCTGAGTTGGCTTGAGTTAACAGTACCTTTAGAGATATGCTGCTTGCAAAACATGCACCACTAGCCAAAGCATGCCTTTTATCAAGATGGGTTAGGAATATCCAGTGCTTCCCTACAGGCATGTTGCTACCTGTAGCTGAATTTAATAATACTAGATTATTGTAGTGTGGTTTATACTGGCTTTTTTCTTCATTCTTTTGAATCTATTTATTTACTTAATTTTCCTACCATCAAGAAAAAAACCAAATCTATGAATACTTGTAAAAGCAGGGTCAGATGGTGAGACTGAATTGAAAGAAGATATTTAGGTTCTTAGGATGACACTCAAAAGAGCCTGTGGGCTCAGCTATGCTACACAGCCAAGTACACTATAAAGATCGCTGAGCTAATGCCCGTGATCGGAAGCTCAGTTAGTGTTGTTGTGTTCTCCCTGGGCTAATTAACAGGGGTGCCTCTCAGCATACCTAATTAGCTCCATTCCTGCAGCATCCTCAGGGGCTGGGCTAATTAGCGTGGGTGCTTTGCTATACAGACACAGCTATATTGCCTCTGGGATCTAAGCTAGTATCCGTGCATGGCATTGCATTGTACCATGTAGACAAGCCAGTTCCCTCAAAGCTACCTCAGGATCTCTAACAGCCTTTTGCTGTGTAAACTTGCCCGGTGCATTAATGAGACCCCAAAAGCTTATGCAGAGAGAAGGATACTAACTCAGGATGTGGGCCAGAGGGTAACATTTTGGGAGACAGATGTTTTAGGGCGAGTCCCATGTTCATTTGCGTTTGCTTTACCTCTATGTCTGCTTGTTACCTTTGGATTAAAGACAGTATTAAAAGTAAGCACCAGCTATGGTGAGGCAAAAAAATAGGCTTACATTGAGGTGTACAAAGTCTGAACCTGCTACCTTGCAGCTTGCTGGTTTTTGCTTTTAGGTTCTCAGCTAAACTTATAGCTACTAAAAGATAGTTATGAACTAATGAACTGAAGCGTTTTTAAAGCATATTTCCCCATTGCTGTGGTCAAATAATAATGGTAATGAAGTATCCTTTATGGTTTTACAGACCCTGCTT